GTTTCTCTCACAGGTGTATCCGCACGCTGATCCGGAAGAAGGAACCTGCGTGGACCATATGCATGTCTGTGGGACCCATCACCCCTGGGACTATATGGTTGGTTGGCCAGCCCTGGAGCAATGCCCAGTGTTAAGTGAGGAGGGTATAAGGATCACATTTGGAGTCAGCCAGTTAGATTCATCCTACCATATGCTGGCCCCTGGGAGACTTTGGACCAGTAACTTCACTTCACCAAGTCTCTATTTTCTCATCATTAAGGTATGGGTGATGATAGTATGCACATCAAAGTGTGGGTGAAAGATACTAGTATATATACACGGTTAGTAGTGGAAGTGGCCATGTCCCTAAGCTGGAGTTGATCAAATGATGCCTCTTATGAACTCTAGGTTTTTGTGTGTGTTTTTTAATCCTCACCTAAGGATATTTCCCTCCATTGATTTTTAGAGAGAGGGGAAGGGAGGGAATGAGGGAATGAGAGAGAGAGAGAGAGATTGCTTGCCTCCTGCATGCACCTCATCCAGGACTGAGAATTAAACCTTCAACCCAGGTACTTGCCCTTGACTGGGAATTGACCCTGTGACCCTTCAGTGCATGGGCCGACACTCTAACCACTGAGCAACACCAGACAGGCCTCAGCCCCTATTTTTTAAATTCAAAAACCCTTCTGTATCATTTACTATGTCCCAGTCACTGTTCTATGCATATATCACACCCTTACTATGCCGGTATCACAGGTGAGGGACCTGTTGCACAGAGAGGTTAAGTTACTTGCCCAAGGTGACCCAGTAAATGACAGAGCTGGGATTCAAACTCAGGCATCCTGACTTCAGGATCTGTACTACTAATGACTTGGTTCCGATGTCTCTTAGAACACCTGCACTGTACATGTTTGTGGGGGGGATAGATGATGGACAGACAGACAGATGAGCTTGAGTGAGTCCCCTCCATGGGCTGTCACAGAGGAGAGTATCCCTGCCCTTGCCCCTGGACAGCTGCTCTGTGGAGGGTTCAGGAGCTGCCTCCCTAGCTCCATTCTGCTATGGCAGTGTGTTCTAGAATGGGCTTCGGGTTTGCATAAGCGAGAGTCTGCCCAGGTTGTGGGTGTGGCCCAGTCTGCTATGAGGGTGCAATGTTTTTTGTGCCATTGTTTAGTCTCTTGTATCTAGAATTAAGCCCTTGGATTTGACAGTTAACTTTGAGTGTGTGTGTGTGTGTGTGTGTGTGTGTGTGTGTGTGTGTGTGTGTCAGTAGGCTATTTGAGGCTGGGGTTAGTGTTCCTTCCTGACCCTGTGTCTCCTTCTCTCCCCTTCTGCACACCCACTCTCTGCGTCTCTCTCTCTGCTCTGGTTGGAACAGCACCTCCTGCCTGCAACCTCAGCCCTCCAGCACTGACTTTCCCACCATTGCTGTCAACATGCCCACATTCCCCAAAGTGCTGTGGTGCCTCTGAGGGTATTACTGATTTTGACAGGTGCCCTTTCTCCTCCAACCTGTCCCTGGAAAACCCACCGTAAGTATGATAGGCCTGGAAAGCTCCTAGAGACCTTTTCTATCTTATTCACACACAAAAAAAAATAGTGCGTTCTGGGCCTATCCGGATATCACACTGGAATGAGGCCCCAGGGATCTCGCTTCTCACACATTCCTGTGTGTTTTGGGGAGGTACCACCATTTCTGCTTCCTGGCTTAGAAGGTCCTTCTCCAAAGACAATTCCCAAGGTGGCCTGGGGCCCATCAGCCTTTTCTCCCCATTCAGCAAGGTCACTGCACTCTGCATACCAGCCTCTCTCTTCTTTCCCAAAGCCCAGCGCCCTTTGACAGCAGCTGAGGAGGAAGCTGGTGAGAACCGCTCACTGTTTTACCCCTTCCTGGTGGAATGACTGCACGTAAGGAAGAGGTCCAGGGCACAGACCCCTTTGCACTTGGAGGGAGTGAGGCATCGGTGGCAACTCTTTCCCCTGCCAACCAAACACTGCAAGAAGCACCCTGACTTCGCTACAGAACATCTTCATAGCAAGAATCCGCTTCGTTCAATGTTTACCTTCCTTTAAGCAAAGTGCTGGCCTGCAAATAAAAGGAAGCCAAGCCCAACACCCATGCATCCCTCCAAAAACATTGTGAGGTGGGTAACCAGTGAGGATAAAGATCCTGTCCCAACCCCACCCCTCCCCACTCTTCCAGAGTTCTTTTCCTGGGGAGGAGCGCATAGTGGCGTCAAAGCCTGTTGCTTCTCGTCTGTGATGAAGATATTTTTAGGGATGAATCTGGGCCTTCCTTCTCTCTCTCCCTCTGATGCTAATGTGGCCGTCTGCCCCTCCCAGACAACCTTCACAAGCACATGCTCACTGTCCTAGAAGAGTGGGCTAAGGAAGAGGTTGTTATTAAATATAGACTCCCGAGTTATGGCATAAGGACACGTAGTTTGCCTGGGATGCTAAGAGTGGGGCAGAGGCGTTGGGAACCTGGAAATCATTCTCGTAGTCTGTGGTACTCACAAGTGCCTCCCGTTCCATTTAGTGTTGTTTTTTTATTTCTTTAATCTATTAAGTGAGGGGCCAAGGTATTTTCTCTAGGGTCTGCTCTCACCTTGCATGATCTCAGTTGTATAAACTCCCACCAGTGGGATAGCCCAGGGTTACTGCTTTGTTCAGAGGAGGGGCCTTGGGACCTCCTGTCTCCATGCCTCTCCACCCCACAGGGAAGTGGCCAGCAAGGTGGCTTGTGTGTGGTGGTGACAGGCTCTGACCACCGGCTCAAAGGTTCCAAGGCCTATCTCCATCACCTTCCAGCTTGGCCTACCTCTAAGGAAAAGCTCACCTCTCAGCCCTGAGACCCACCTACCAAGGGTTTTTCTGACCTGAGCCCCTTGAGTTAAAAATATTGGGAGTGGAATGATGGGAAGAGGCAGAGGTCCTAGGAACCCACTGATACATTTGAGTTTTTTGAGCTATAAGAACTGTGCTGAGCAATGCTATCTCTACAAAATTTGGTTGGCTCACAGTGTTCCTAAAGTAGTCTTTAATTTGTTTAATTTGGAGAATGCTGTGCTATATAGACAAGGTGATGGGGATTATAAAAGTAAAATTAGTAAAAAAAAAAATACAGCTAGCTCCATAGCACCATGTACTACTTCTGATTATTTATCAGCTGCATTATAACTTATAGGAACATAGGAACCACACCCAGCTCACAGTAGCATTTGTGCAATGAATGAATGAATGAGCTGATTGCATTTCCATTGCCAACATGGTTATCTCAGGCCCAGGCCAGAAGCGGGAGGCTTTGTGTTGGGTGAGGCCTTGTGCTGGGGGCAAAGGTAACAATTTCCTAAAGCTCCTCTCTGTCTTGGCTTTCCTCTATCACTCTGTAAATAAAGGAGGGCCATGCCCATCTTAACTCCTGTCTCTGCCAGTGCCCAGTCCTGAGCTCCATTGATGTTTGGGCAGGGCAGGCCCCAGCGTGGTTCCTTCAGAGACAGACCCGGCCTGTCCCGCACTCTAGACTAGGGGTGTCGAACTCAATCAGAGAAGGGGCCAAAATCTCAAATCCAGCCTAAATCACGGGCCGAATGGTTTACTGAACAGTCATAAACTGTCATTGTGATGGAAACGCAGCGGAGTGCAGTGATGACAGCGCGGTGCGGGCCACATTGCAAGGCCTGGCGGGACGGATTTGGCCCGCGGGCCTTGTGTTTGACACATGTGCTCTAGACATATGGGCAGGGCTGCAGAAGCCCCAATTGCACATTGTGGAGTCAGATAGCTCCTGGCTCAAATCCAGACTCTGATACTTATTGACTATGTGCCCTTGACGAGCTACTTTGCCCAGTCTCAGTTTCCACATCGGTAAAAGGGGATGACAAGAATGAGTGCCTTCCAGACCCAATGTCAGGATTAAATGAGCCCAAAAGGCCTGGAGTAGAATCATGTGGTAAGAAATAGAAAAAAATATATATACGCCACCAAGTTTGACGGGGGCAAACTGCTCTGTGTGTACTTGCCCTGCAGGGGCACATAGTGTTCGCACAGGGTGGTCTGTGCTGTGAAAATTCCAGCAGCCTGGAGTCACAGTACCGTCTCCTGCCCCAGGTCTGCCTGTTCTTCTTCCCACTCCATCAGCTCAGTTCCAAGAACATTTACTGATGCCTACCCCTGGCCAAGCCTGTGATGAGCCCTACTCCCAGAGGTGAGTAAGACATGACTTTCACCCATGGGATTCTCATTTCCTGAATCACTGCAAGGTGTCTGCTGTATTTACAGTTTGCAAAGCTGCTTTATACCCCTCATGGTCAGACCCCCACACCATCTGCCCTGTCCTTCCTGTGAATGTTGCTCCTGGAGCTGTGGACGTATGGGCAACCCGGAAAGGGGCAGAGCAGAGATTAAGGTAGCCACTTGACGGCCAAGAAAAGAGGGCTCTTATGTAGCTTAGGTGGTCTGACTGCACTGCACCCCCTCTGGCTTCCCACCAGCGTTATTCTAAGCAAGGGCGGTCCAATGAGGGGGAGAGCCTATCAGCTAGCAAGCAGGGCGTTCGCTGAAGCCCAGAGGGGCCAAGAAGGAAAGCAAGGAGAAGGCCCACAGCAGCCGTCCACCAACTCCAAAAGGGGACCTTGTTGCTTGCTTTCCAGCTAGCTGCCTAGGCTAAGGAGCGCGAGGCCAGCCCTTGACTCCTCCCTTGACAGCAGAATAGCAGCACCTGGGCTTGCATTTCGCAGCATCGCTACGCCCCGCCCACACCGGCCCTCCGCGCGGGTCTCCAATCTGTGCAGGTCCGGATGGGGGCGCCCGCCCCTCCCCAGCACCCGCCCGGCTGCGGCCCACGTGCGCCCACAGCTGCCGCGGTGACAGCTGGCCCCGCCGGGGCGGAGACGGTAGGGAGGGGAGCAGGGTGGGGGGGCGAGGGCGGGGGCTCCGTGCCGCGCTGCCATTGGTCGCAGCCCTCGGGGGCGGGGGCGGGGCCGCGCCCCCGGCTGCCTTGTCATTGGCCACAGCGCCGATGGGGCGGCTCCCAGCGCCGCCGGCCGCGAGGCGCTGAACTGCGGGCGCTCTCCGGGCTAAGCCTGCGCCGGGCGTCTCGCTCACTCGCTCCCAGCTCCGCAGGCGGCCTGCGCGTCCTGACCACTGCGCCCGAGGAGGCCGAGGCGAAGGCAGGAGCTGGCCCTTGGCTCCGTGGCCAGCAAGGCTGTGGGTAAGGCGGGCGGCGCACGGCGGGCGGGCGAGCCCCACGGGGTGGGGGACCGTGCCAGCCGAGCCTGGACTCTGGGTCCTAGCCGGCGCCCGGGAGGGTCAGGTGCGGCGGCAGCATCTCCTGCCTCAGACCCACCGGGCACCCGGCGAGCAGGTGGCGCTGCTCGGGAGGCCGGGGCTGCCCCGAGCCCTCGCTGAACGGCTTAGAACGAAATAAAAAACCTCCCACCGTGCCCGGAACTACCTCTTCCTCTGCCCGCCGACACCCAAACCCGGCAACGCTAAGCCTAGAAAAACCCCAACCGTCCACGCGGAGTGGGCGCAATGCGCCGGCGGTGCCGACCTGCCAGCCGGGCGGAGGATGGTCTGCAAACTTAGCTTCCCAGGATGTGGGCTCCGCGCCGTTCACGCTCTCTCCTGGCTTTTCACTGACACCCCTCCCTCCCCGCCGTGTTCCCCTCCCTCCTCCACAACAGGAAGTTAAGTGGAGCCAAATGTCAGTGGCCTCGCCGCCTGCGGGCTAGGACCGGGTCTGGGGCCGTGGTGTGGCCCTGGGGGCCGGCATGCTGTGGACCCCAGCAGCCCTCGCCCAGCCCAGGCCCAGGGGGACCCCTGCCGGCGTCCGCGGCGCCCACCTGGCCTGCCCGAATGGCCTTGGCCTTGGGGAAACGCAGGGTCCTGCCCGCAGCCCCCGCCGCCGCCGCTGACCTGGTGTCTAGGCTGGAGTCCGTGGGGTTAACTATAATATATCCTGGGCTCACCTCACCGCCGAGGCCAAGCTGGGAAGGGCTTTTTTGCTGGATGGGGAAGAGGCGTGTTGAAACCAGAGTAAATGTGCGCCTCCCGTCCGCATTGTTTATTCTGAAGCCTGGGTTCGGGAAAGCCAACAAGCTTTTGTTTGGAGGTGTGTTCCTTAGGCTCTGTAAGGGCCCTTGGGCTGCACGTGGACCCTCTTGCTGTCAGTCTTGCCTGATCACTAGAGTCCTCCGTGGTTCGGTTGAGGGGTGAAGTCACTAATCGGCCCCCTGTTGGCCCTCGGATGTCTGCAGGGGACTGGTGGGGGTAAGGTTGGGGGTGGGGGGATCGGGGAAGGTGTCCTGGCACCTGCACCAGCTCTGCTCCTGTCCCCTTCCCAACAAGTGGACCTCAGTTCTTCAGGGCAGCTCACCTGATGCTCTGGAGACTAACTGCAGCAAAAATTGACCTTCAGGCAGAGAGAAGAAAGGTTTATTAAGTCCTGGCTGGGAGACAGGTCCTGCCCTGTGGTACTTGTGCATTCAATTTCGTGATTACGCTCCCAGAGTTTTACCTTCCTCGCTTTAGAGATGGGAAATAGCCGCAGGTAGGGTGAGTGCCCAGGGTCACACAGAAAGTGGCCGAGCCAGGATTCAGACCCAGCTTAGCTTTGCCAGAGCCAAGGCCGGTGCTCTTCTTGTTGCCCCGTGGCTGTGGAAGGTGGGTGTCCCGTGGCATGATCATGGCCCTGCTGTGTGCGGATGGGGGCTCCTGGCCTCCGAAACGATTCAGGGAGTGCTTCTTGGTAAAGCACTTGGCCAGACTCAGGTTAGCCCAGATTGTTCAGCCTGCGGGTCCCTTTGCCCACCCTGTCCTCCAATCAAGGCGAAGGCTGGTGTTTGTCATGTGATGGGAAGGGATTGGCTGGTGTTTGGAGCTTTTTGAGGGCAAAGCTTGCCTATGCTATGGACGGGTCTCACCTCTGAGAGTTGGCTTCTGGGATGGTCTAATTGTGTTTGTTAGCTGAAATAACCTCTACCTTAGGACTGATTTCAGGGTTGTGTTTTTTTTTTTTTGTTTTTTTTTTAGTGTGTGTGTTTTTTTGGGGGGGAGGCGTTGAAGTATACCAATTATGATTATAAAGTGATTGAGAGTTACAATCTGAGCATACCTTCATAAAAAATGACATCACTTTTTATTTCTATCTCCTTCCTTCTTTAGGACTAGGGCTCTGGCTTTCGGCTTATCTCTCTCTTCTAAAAGAAAGTCATGACTAGCTTACTACCAACCAGTTACACATTTATTTATATCTCCAGGGAGAGGCCTGAAACTAAGTGTGTATGTATGTATGTTTGTGTGTGTGTGTGTGTGTGTGTGTGTGTGTGTGTATGTATGTGTTAGGGGTGGCAACCTTGTGAAAGGCTGTTTATTTTTTATTTTTAAATATATTTTTATTGCTTTTAGAGAGGAAGAGGGAGAATGAGATAGAAACATCAATGATGAGAGAGAATCATTCATTGGCTGCCTCCTGCACGCCCCCTACTGGGGATTGAACCCACAACCCAATCATGTGACTTTGGCCAGAATCAAACCTGGGACTCTTTAGTCTACAGGCCAATGCTCTATCCATTGAGGCAAACTGGCTAGGGCATGAAAGTCTTTTTTAAATTTTTGATTACAGTTGCCATACAATATTATATTAGTTTCAGGTGTACAGCATAGAGATTAGACATACATTTTAGAATGATCACCCCAAGTCTAGTACCTACCTGACACCATACATAGCTATTACAAAATTATTTGACTATCTTCCCTTTGCTGTACTTTTTAAATCACCTGGCTATGTTAATAACCCAAACAGTTACACTTTAGCATAAATCAGCTTAAGGACCAAGGCTGGTTGTAGCTCTGGTCATTGGAAACCCATTCCTTGCAGCTGTAAGAAGCAGAGGAACTGGTACACGCAATCCCTCTCTGCCTAGGATTGGCTTGTGTCTATTCTCTCCACCACATCTGGGTGAGCCTCCCAGCCATGGCCTGGCCCTTTTACTCCCTGCCACTGAAGGGTAGAGGCCCTGCCATCTTGACAGAGAGACTTGACCCTGGAGAGAGGGTATGGGTGCAAGAAGGTTTGAACTGAACATTGCTAATCTTTGAAGTCCTCCCCAAGCTAAGGATCACTGGTGTTCAGAGAGTCGAGAAATGAAATACAGTTCATTGTGCTGGGACTTTTTGTTCTTTATATCATTAGATTCCCCACATTAGCCCTTTGAAGAAGTAAGTAGGATTATTTTCATTTTGCAGATGAGGAAACGGAGACTCAGAAAGGTTAAAAACTTGCTCCTATCGCACAAGCTAGTGAGCAACCAGGCTAGGATTCTGGCCTTGTCTGCTTGAGAGAGGTCTGTGTGGTGAATTAAACACCAAGGGAAGCAGGAACACTTTGTGGCCGTCCTCTGAACTTGGAGGTTTGATGAGTACAGCTCCCCAGCTGTGCTTACTGTTTCCCACCTTATATTGTCACCTTACATTTTATACATATATATTTCCTTATTGATTTCAGAGAGGAAGGGAGAGGGAGAGAGAGAGAGAAATATCAATGATGAGAGTGAATCATTGATTGGCTGCCTGCTGCATGCCACACACTGGGGCGCAAACAGATCATTTGTCCCTGATCGGACTCAACCTGACACCCCCTCAGTCCACAAGCTGATGCTCTATCCACTGAGCAAAACCAGCTAGGGCCTCACTTTACACTGTTGATGAGTTCTTCGACTTTAAGTGAAATGATATATTATGAAACCAACTTACCATAGACTAATTGATAAAAGCGACAGTTAAGTTTCTCAGTCATTCCATCAACATTATAAAGAACCAACTTTTAATGAAATGACATTATTCAAGGACCTGCTGCAATTATTTGTGAATGTGTCATTAAAGATATCCAAACACTTGGCAGCTTTATTTTCTTACAAATCCTCTTTGCTCCATATTCCCTCAGTGTTTATGCCTGTCTTTATTAGGATATCCACCATGATGTATTGCAGTCCTCTACTTAAAGATGTTATGCATATTTTCAAACAGAAAAATGGAGAGAATAGTACAAGGAGCCCCATATAAACATTACTCAGCTTCAACAGTCATTGAGATTTCAAGATTATGCCAAGCTGGCACCCTGCCCTCCCCCCATACCCCTTCTCTCCCTCTCCTCCCCATTCCTCTTCTTTTTTTCTCCCCCCTGTTCTTTCTTCCTGAGGTATTTTACAACAAATCTTTGATATCACATCATTTTGCCCCTAAGTAATCTAGTATATATCTATTTTAGAAAGAACAACCTCTTTCATACCATCTTGTCACTATTGCATGTAATAGGATGAGCGGTGATTCTTTGGTCTCACCTGTCCATACTCAGCTTTCCTTGCTTGTTTAAGTCAGGATCCAGACAAAATCTGTGCTGCCTTTGGTTGTTAGTCCCCTTGTGCCTATTTTAGCCTGGAGCAGCACCCACTCCTCCTTACCCCCCCCCCCTTTCAGCCAGCCGTTAGTCTTTGTTTTAAGTGTCCGTCTCCCCCACTGGGCAGTGAACCTCTTGCGAGTGGAGTTGGCTTTTCTGCCATGTGGGTCCAGCACCCTGTCTGAATGGGGCAGAGGCTCCCTGAGCATCTATCTGCCCAACTGTGTCCAGGCCACTCAGGAAGTGTGTTTTGAATGAATGAACTTCATCATGGTTTTGTGTGGCTGCCTGTGCTTGTGTTTAGATGAGAATTTTTTTAAATTTATTTTTTAAAGATGAGTTGGCTTGTGTGTGGACTTTCCTCAGCATATATCAGTCTGTAAACATCCTGAAACAATAAAATTATTTGCTGTGCTCACCCGAGCTTTTCTGGTTTGTGGTGGGGAACAGCCTCATTTGTGCCCTGATCAGCAATGAGGTCATTTCTGCCCGAGCTATGAATCCCGGCTTACTCAGCCACACGGATTACTGCGACATGACCCAGACCCTTGGCATCTGGACTGCAAGGAGAAGGCTGTCCACTTCTCTTCCTGTCCTCTCTCTGGATGGCACTCCTTCTCTGGTGCCTTCAGGAGCCCTCTCTCACCTGCCGCACACCTGGGTGCATTGGGCAGCCTTTCTCAAATCATTCTGACCTGCAACCAGCAGGTCATGACAGAAAATAAACGCGTGACCCTTCAGTGTGTGGCCAGAATTTGAGATGAAGTGATAGTACCACTGCTGGCACTCTTGTTTGACTTCTAATGGAGGGG